GCTGTGTTAACAGCTTCAGCCCAGAAATCTTTATCCAACCTAGAGTTTGAGACCATACACCTAGATCTCTCCGTCAACATTCTATTCATGCGTTCTGCCACCCCATTTTGCTGAGGAGTGTGCCTGGCCGTGCGATGTAATACGATCCCAAAATTTGAGCAGAACTAATTCAACTCTCCATTGCAGAACTCTAGGCCATTATCTGTTCGAAGACGTTTAATCTTCTTTTCAATTTGATTTTCAACAAGTACTTTCCACTTCTTGAAAGTTTTGAACACCTCGCTTTTGCGCCTGAGAAAGTAAACCCAAACTTTTCTAGAAAAATCATTAATAAACATCAGAAAATAAAGAGCACCACCTTTGAATGGAACCTGAGCAGGTCCCCACAAATCTGAATGGATGTAGTCGAGAGTGCCCTTCATTGTATTTGAGCCAGTCGAGAAGCTGACCCGAGTTTGCTACCCAAACACACAATGCTCACAGAAATCCAGTGATGATGTATGGTTACCACAGAGTAAGCCACGTTTACTCAAAATAGTCATCCACTTCTCACTCATGTGGCCTAAGTGCATGTGCCACAACTGAGTAGTGTCTCTATCAGCATCAGAGGACACACCTGCAGAGCCTGTCACCATACTGCCTTGGAGCACATAAAGATTGTTCACCTTACAACCTTTCATCACAACCAATAAACTCTTAGTAACTCTAAGAGCTCCACCTTCACTAGTGTAAGAACACCTAATAGAATCCAAAGAACTCAAAGAAATCAGATTTTTCTTTAAGTCCGGGATGTGTCTCACATCTGATAAAGTTCTCACTATCCCATCATGACACCGGATGCAAACTGTACCAATGCTAATTGTCTTGCAAACTACATTGTTGCCCATCAAAACTGATTCATCACTTATAGATTTGTAAGTAGTGAACCAATCTTTATTTGGACACATATGATAAGACGCACCTGTATCCAAGATCCATTCTCTATCGGAACGGTCATCCATGGGACAAACTGCAAGAACCGTCTCAGCAACAACGACAGTATCAGCCTTTACCGTATTAGCTGAATCTGAGGTTTCACCACGCTGGTTGTCTTTCTTCTTTAGAGCTGAGGTTTCACCACGCTGGTTGTCTTTCTTCTTTAGAGCATAGCATTCTGACTTGTAATGCCCTTTCTTATGACAGTAGAAACACTCCACGGTCTTTCTTCTTTAGAGCATAGCATTCTGACTTGTAATGCCCTTTCTTATGACAGTAGAAACACTCCACGTGTTTCTTATTTTGGGCTGACCTGGACTTTGAACGATTTCTGGATTTCCCTTTATCACTCTCTCTGGTCTTCGTTCTACCTCTGGCTAGCAGACCATCAGTCTGCCTATCGGTACCTCTCTCATTCAACTTTGTTCTTAACTCAGCAGAATTCAAAGAGGCCTTCACATCCTCAAGACTTATAGATTTTCTTCCATACAACATAGAGTTAACAAAGTTTTCATAAGAGTCTGGCAAGGAACACAACACAATGAGAGCCTGGTCTTCATCATCAAGCTTAAGATCCAGGTTTTTCATATCCATGACAATTTTATTAAATTCATCAAGGTGTTCCTGATTGGGTGTACCTTCCTTCATCTTCAATGTGTATAGTCACTGCTTTAGGTATAATCTCGTAGTAAGAGATTTCTTCAAATAGAGACTTTCGAGCTTTGACTACAACCCCGCTGCCGTTTCCTCATCGACAACTTCACGAAGCACATTGTCGGATAGTGACAATTGCAAGGCGTTGTGAGACTTTTCGTCCATCTCTTCGATCTCAGCACTAGTCATATCTTCTGCGTATTTCCCATCGATAGCTTTAACTGTGCCTTCACGTCGCAACAAAGCCTTCATCTTTATCCTCCATAGGCCGAAATTGTTCTGGCCATCGAAGATCGACACCGAGAACTTCACAGAAGCCATTGTGGAGGATTGAAAGCTATCCTAGAACTGAGAAGCTCTGATACCAGTTTGTTGGGATAATTAAACACAAAACCAGAAAATAGAGAGACAATCATAAACACACAATGTTTACATAGTTCGATCAAATTGATCTACATCCACGGCAAGAGGGGGCTTTCACTATATTCAATCTCTCAACATAATGCACATACAAAATTTGAGAGAAAAATTTTCTTTTTGTGTCTGACTCCATGGTTCTGAAAAAAACACTGAGAGTTTTGTTGAGATAGAATAAGAGAATGTGAGAATCCAACATGGGAATAGACGTGAGGGCGACATCTTGACAATGATCTCCCTCAATTAATTTCTTCGGCTGATTTGAGCCGTAATTGTTGAAAAAATGTTTGGAGAAGAGAAGTGAGGGTGATTGACAGTGACCTCCCTCCCCCCGAAGTCTTGTTGTGTTCTCCCTTTCAAACCAAAATGGGTCCCACCCATTTTGGATTCAAGCCAAAAAATAAACATGGCTAATGATAGCTGTTATAAATTTTGCCGAAAATGTCGCAATGCTTAATTTTTTCCAGATTGAACCATTCATGCTTTTACTACCCCCACTCCACCACCCGCGTGTGGTTCTAACTACTGCAATTGTATGATGCCTTATCATAATCGTCATTCATGTTTAAATACTTAATCGAATCACTTTTATTCGACAGCTAAATTATTTCCTAACTCGAGCATATGTGAAACCTTGACATAGTATATTGCGCCTGTAATTGAGTGTTATTGTGTCATAGTGGCGAGGCCTCTCTATCATCTTGAAAGAAATATACGTTACTCTCTCGCCCCATGTTATGACTTCTCCTAAAACTAATAAAATGACTTAATTGATAGGTTTGATATGGAGCTTTCTTTAATCACAGGCCAGATTATAGGTTAACTTGAATTCGCCATATCAAGTCGGGGGAAAAAAAGTCTAGTTTTTTCTTTATTAGATGGGCGGCTTCCACCTTTTCTCTCTTCTCCCTGTGCTGAAGGAAGCTTGTCTAAACTTGTTGAGAGTCAACATAAAGGCAAGCGACCCAATAGCAATTTCCATGATTTGAAGGACTGATCTTAAGATACAGAAAATTAGTGGTACTCTAGGGATACATGAAAATCTTGTTGGGGAAAGGAGGCTTGACAATTTGAATTAAATGTTTAGGGGTTAAAATCTTGAAAGTTTTAACTTAAGGGGCAAAGCTTGATTTTCGACAATCAGAAGGTTGGAAGGAATTTCCCAATAAAAAATAACTAAAAAGTCATGCCAAGTCAGCGAAAGTTAACCAAAAGAATTAAAATAGACCAAACTTGATAAGAGGGTAAACATTAAGGACCTCTATTGGTGAGTTTCAAACGTTAATGACACAAATGAAATCAGGCTAAAACATTAGGGACTTTTATTGAAGTTTTGCCTAATTAACATGAAATCCTCCCAAAAGTAAAATCCTTATCATCCCATTGCAGGTCTCTCGTGTGCTATGTCTATCAACTATCCTGCATGTGGTATTTTCATATCTGATAGAGGGGCATGTGCATGCGTTGTGTGCTGTGTCTATCAATTGCATGTAGACACTCAATAGCTTTCGCTCAATTCTAGAGGAAAGTTAGGTTTACAGGTTGATAAATGTAGATGTTACTCTTGGACACAGAGTATCGCGCATGCACATATTCATGCCAACATCAGCCCTGCGAATCTTGTTTCTATATAGAAATTATAAAGTTTGTACAAATACAAAGAAAAGTGACCCTAATCGTCAACCGATCAATGCAAAAGCATAAGTAAAAATGATTAGTTCCACAAGTTGTTTTAATTTCGCCTCTCTTCTTCCCTGATTTCCGAAGTTTTTGTCACTGTTCTGTCTTACCTGACCCCCCGCCTTTCTTCTCAGTTGTTCCTGGATTCATAACTGCGAATCTGTCTGCTAGGGTCTGCCAGATGCTGGGGTTTTAAAGTTTGTAGAGCATTTAGCATGAGAAAACTGTGCTTTGATTCTTTCTACTAAATGAGAGTGAAGGAACACAACTGAAGGTCTTTTAGATGTATATCTGAACTCTGTTTGTAGGAGAATCCATGGGCTCAACAGCAATATTATGTTCTTTCTCTAGGCTTTACCAATTATTAGAGTGTATCAGATAACGACAATTTAATTGTGATACATCCAGGCATTGTAAAATATTCTTGTTCTTCTTCATGTGTACGCAGTCCTGTGGCAATGTAACATCCTATGCTCTTCTACAGTCACACAACTCCGCAGCAATGTAAACATTCCATGTTCTTCTTCTTCTTCCTCATGTCCTTTCGTAACACAAATACTTTATTGTAAAATGTTGATCGTGCTTTTACACTAAACTTCGAAACAGTTTAGAAGTTATTCACAGGCGTTTTGCATTCATATACCAGTTTAGAAGTGATTCATAGGCGTTTCTTATTCATATGTAGTCGCAAATTGGCGTGCTGTATTCATATTGGAACTACTCAAAATCATGTAACATATTGTTATCTCTGCTTTTGTTCCTCAATAATCTTTTCTGGTTGACAGATGTATTTGATTATCAATGCTACATTGACTCTGTTGGTTCTCAGTGACTTATTAGTAGGAAATACATGTGATTTAGTGTCATTCTGACAATTGAGGAACCCTTTTCTAACTAAAGTCATATATACATTACTGAAAAAGGGCCAACACTGGCAGTGAGAAGATGATGCATGTCAGTTCCCATTCTAACTTATCCACTGCTGAGATGCTTCGTATTGAAAACATAGAAACGCACATTTAGTTTTATTAATTTTTTTTAATTGAGAACCATTTTGGTGACTTGTAAATTTTGATAGACATTAGTCAATGTAATATCAAGACAATATGAATATCAACTATTAGTAACAAGCTTTGGGCATGGTACAGAGAAAAGCTGGTAGAAAATCGCATGTACAGAGAAAAGGTGGTACAAAATCTCTATTTCCGAATTCTCGATGCATCATAGCTTTATAGATTCACAAAACAAGATAAAAGAGTAAATACTTCGACCATTTATATAAGTAAAATCAACATGAAAAGAATACAATTGCAGGAGGTTTTATGCAAAATAGTTCACAGATCATAACTTACACGTCACATAAGAAACACCATCGACGGAACCCATTCACTGCTCACTACAGGCAACCAAGCATTAAAACACAAACATATACAAGTTTCTTGAACTATAAAGTAAGAGAGACAAAAAGAAACTTCTTATATATCTTTTTACATGATCAACTTAGCTTCCATCATTGTAAACCAACACAGTTACGGAAACAAACAAACTACTAACGCGCACAAAGAAGCTTTAGGACCTCCTTTTCCTTTTCTTCTCATCGTCAGATTTCTCAGATGCATTCTTCATCTGCAAAAGCAACTCTCGCAAATCAATCACATGATAACCAAATCATACAACAGGAGAAACACTCATCGAAACCCAAAAAAATAATGCTACCATTTCACATTACCATGATGATGAGAATCCGTACTACGATGGCAACAAAGTCGGTAAACAAAGTCAGAGCATGCTTCACGTAGTCCAAATCCCCAAGGTGAGCCCTCTCAATGATCTCTTGAGTGTCAAATACCACATACCCAAGAAACAACAGCAGCCCAAAGTAAAGCTGACAGAAATACAATACTCCAGAGATCAGAAAACTATAGGACCGTACGAAGAATATAGGGTTAATTGCGGATAGACAATCTGTAAACAATTTCGCAATAGTACAAGGGTCTATTCACAATTAATCATATGATTAGAGGGAGGTGAGGTGGAAGCTTACCTCAACATTGAACATTGCAGTGGCTTGACCAAAGATGGCAGAAGCAAACCTAAGCCAGAAGAGGATAGCTAGGCCAGAAGACAGGAGACCTCCCAAGTACAAGAATTCCCTCCTCTTCGCTATAATGGCTGCTCCCGAGAAACAACCAAAGGCCAGAGCTGTTCCCACAAAGGCAGACACTAGTATGCTGCAATAATGCAAACATACACAAGTTATGAGATGAGTCTGAACCTTACCGGAAAACAGTGAAACTAAACATGTTTTCTTTCCCATGAAAAATAGCAAAAAAAATTTCATATCCTTCCACATATTAGTAAGACAATAGTTATATTGGATATAACAAATAATCAAGAGATCAAACAATGTTCAAATATTCTTACTCCAAATGTAGCTTAACTGTAGCAATAACAAAATTAAATGAGATTCACTGCTTGATAATATCAAATGTTCAAATATTCTTACTCCAAATGTAGCTTAACTGTAGCAATAACAAAAAGAAAACTAATAATAAAACATGCTTTTCAAATAGGCAGTCAGGAAGGCGACCGTACTTGTCACTAGGGAGGTAGTTAATTTTTGGTGTACATTCACAAGATTCGCTTCATAACAAGTTATTTCTCATACAGTTCTAATGGATTTTCTTACTCACTAGTACTAAAAGGGAGAGGGCACCATCACAATTATTAAAATATCAAGAACAGAAAGTAGACACAGACAAAAGGCAGAAGAAATGTTACTGCTTCTAAATACATGGAAAAGAGATCAAAAAGGATATCAGATGAACAATATCAATCAAAACCATTACAAGATGACTGTTAGATAAAATTAACATTAAAAAACTTGACCAATTTCTCTTTCACAACTCATGTAATTAGTTAATTACTTCTCCCTTTACGGTCCTCTATCATAACACCTATGGCAACCATATTCTTCTTGGGTGGTATTTTTCAAACTAGAGTTGCACCTTCATAAAAATAAATCCTACTATGGAGATAGTACCACATATAAGGTTTAACCCATCTTATTCTGCTTGTTATTGATATATGAAATAATTTTAATCACGAGATATTGATATACTGTACAAAGATCCCACAACAGAAATGTATTAATTCAAATAGGAGAATTTTTTAAAAGAGACCAAATTTGATAAATATTTAGCAAAAACAACCGTTTTGCTAAATATTTAGCAAAATCGATCTCTTTTTGGGCAGCTCGCCAAAGCTGGCAAAAAAATGTCGATTTTGCAAAATATGAGTTTCAAAACACACGAGACTACGAATCTTGTGTGTTTAGTGGTTGTTAACCACTGCCTAGACAACACAAAAAACCCACTGAACTCGTAGTCCCATGGGTTTTATGCACAGTATTAGATAGAGTTTGAATGAGATAATATGCTCTTAGTCCAAATGAATCTTATACCTGTAACTTTGCACTAATCATGGACTAATTAATTACTAGTCAATGATGCTGTGAAAGAGAGACACTGTATCATTAGTGCATCACTAGTGTGATACGACTATATATATAGCTTGGGTAGGACATATACTGTCTCTCTTTCACAGGATCATCGACTAGTAATTAATTAGTCCATGATTAGTGCATAAAACTCACGAGACTACTAGTCTCATGGGTTTTGTGTTGTGTTTAGGCAGTGATTAACAACCACTTGTAACAACCACTAAACACAAGGGACTAGTAGTCCCATGTGTTTGGAACTCATATTTTGCAAAATCGATCGCTTTTTTGCTAGCCTTTGATGAGCTGGCAAAAAAAAAGGTCGATTTTGCTAAATATTTAGCAAAAGGGTCGGTTTTGCTAAATATTTATCAAATTCGGTCTTCTTCAAAAAATTCTCCATTCAAATTCTTGAGGATTAGGCATATATGAGAGCAATCCAACAGCAATGACTGAAAAGAATAGAGGACATGAAGGCAAAGAAAAAAATAATGCATGTTAAAATACACAAAAGGGCTCATATGAGCAGAATATTATGTGATACCTAGGGTCAGGAAAATAAAAATAAAAGTGCAGCCAATTTTAAGGGATAAAAGTAGCAATCACCTTGGCTCAAAGTCAAGAACAAGCTGGATCAGAGGACCAAGAGTAGCCCCTTCAAGAAGAGCAGTCGCCATCAAGACACCAAATCTCTTCCTCTACTCAAAGGTAGCCAAAATATATAACATGAGACCATCTGTTCTCCACGTAAATTAAATTTATAATCTACTCAGAGATCTCACCTCATTATAAGGAGGAGTTGTGCATAACCATATAATGCCAACACTGCATCCGAGGAAAGTCAAGAAACCACCAATATTCATCAAGATATGCAGGTAGACTCCCACAGCAGAAGCTCCAAGGGCACAGCATAATGTCAGATAAACCTGCAGGAGACATGCAAGTATAAACTGAACTCAGTGGTCTAAACCTCACAAGTCGCAGAGAATAAGATCTCCACATTACAAAACCTACCAGCTAAAAAGAGACTATATGTAATTACATCCCACCACTCTTACCTCTTGCTATAATCAACAGCCACATTTCCATCTTAATTCAACTGCCTTACTGTCAATGAACACCAAATTTGCAGCCCAAATTGGTTCAATTATACTATATTCAAGCATTTTACTAGCATATCGGCACATGCAAATGCACGCACAAGTAACTTAAATCTCTATCCAGACAACTATCCACCATACATGGTAATAATATTAGATAATTTAATGTGTGTAATTTTATAATAGAGTTTTTAGAGGGGAACCTTATAGGATCAAATACAGAAAACATCATAGGCTAATACTACTTAATAATTCAATCAGTGGATAAACTTAATACCAAATGAGGTGTTTATTTCTCAGAGCATATAATTGGAGAAAGAGATTCAAAATAAAAATAGAAATTAGAACATAATGTTTTCATATATATTATCATGTTTTAACAAAATCAAGTATCATGAGCTTCTAAAATTGTTTCAAATGAAATTTTAAGATCTTGTTAAAAACATGATTTGAGGAACTTACAAGCAATTTCAAAGATTCAAGGGACTAATACAGAATTATTGAAGATTTGAGGACTATTATCTAAAAAGTCTACTAATCTAACAACTAATAGTCATACTCCATTAACAACTCATTGTTTCGTTTTGCACAATTTTCTGATGGAAGAAAGGGTGGGGTCGGTCGGTTCTATGTGTACCACTAGCATGATGATGCAGGGATTAGTTCCACTCCTTGGCGCCTGCATCTAGGCCCAGCCAATTAGCCTTCATTTAAATAATGTACATTTTGATCTCATGAAGCTCCCAAGGGGTCTTGACCCCTCAAGCTAATGGTTAGAGTGACGCTTAGCAGTTTATCTTCATCACTTTTGCAACGATAAGCTAAACAGCAGTCAGACAGCTTTCTAGGGTTGAATTTTGATATAATACTGCTACTCTGTCTCCATCAAAACCCCTTTACCTCCTCCACGGCCCTATATGGTTGTGACCAGCAAACATTCAACAACTCAAAACAACTGAACATAATTACTAGCAACAAGGTCCTTTTAACAACTCAAAGACAATCACATGTAGCGCACATGTGCCGTAACAGCTCTGACCACTTAAATTTAAATCCCTATAAGCAAATTTTTGTTGGCAAACGCGTGAGTGCAAAAACTCTCAAGAGGACTTTTCTCTGATGAGATCTAATAGTCATTAGGCAATTAGAGATGATCGGGCATTCGAGCTCCCTAATGAGCCTACAAATCATCCTGGCTTTCATGTTTCCTGTTGAAGGAGTATCTTCAATCACTTACCTCCACCCAGGATTTTCCTCACAGCGGGAAAAGTCAAAACACCAATCGGGAAGCGCTAATAGTCAAATGGAAGCAAAGAGATCCTGGGTCCGAATCTTCGATGTGTATGGAGATTAGATCTTCCCATTATCATCTTCCCAAAATTTAAAGCCTAATGATTTGAAGCCTAATGATGCGAAGCGGAATCATTTCCCTAGGGTTCCAGAAATCGACTCCAATGCCGAGGGGCACGATTTCTATTTAGAGAAACCCTTATAGATAAAAATAATTTATTTTAAAAAAAAATACCCCAACTGTTTACAAATCGAGGATTCCTATCCGACAAAAATCAACCACAAAGGGCGAGAAATAACCCAAATTTTTTATTTTAAAAAAAAAATCAGAAGCACGGATAAGCGAAATCTAGGGTTTCCATGAGGAGACTCACCAGTTTGAGATGATTCTGAACCCTCGGCGAGATCTGCCTGAAATTCTTCAGCGATTCGTAGTTCCACGATGATCGAGTCGCCGATCGCCCTTGAAAGAACGATTCCATATTTTAGTTTATTTTTTATCCCAAATATATCAAAACAGCCGAAGCAAGAGGGGGGAAACTGCCTTATTTATAGGGCTTTCGGGTTGCCTTCGGTATTAAGGCTCCGTTTTGAGTTTATTCACGGGGTCGCCCCTTGAGGAAGCTTCGTGCCTTGAATAGAGATCTCCGGATCAGACTGGAGAAGTCCACGGTAAGTTGCTCTGCGGGTTGATCGTAAGGGTCGGGGTGTGATCTGGTTTTCTTATCTGGACCGCTGGATTTCTGAGACTTACAGAGAGAAATGGTGGAGTAGTTTAGGAGAGATAGGTACTGGGAGGATGTGGAACTCACGATACGACCGGACAAATTTTTAAGTTATGGCAGGGTCATTTAAAAGTCAAAGCTCCTAATTGTGTGCCACGTGGAAATTATTTTAACTTGATTTGTTACGTCACGTTAACTAGTTGCTCTCGATGCGTGTGTGTGCGCGTCTCAGTGTCCGCGCGTGTCTACATTTAGGACCTGTTTTGATCAATAGAGGCTAGGAATAGGATTAGGAATCCTATTTTATTTATGGATTCCAACATAATCCATAAAAAAATTTATAGACAAGTTTTAGTTTTATGGAATTCTATTTTTGTTGCATTCTATGTTTGTTTCACCCAATGAAAAAAAGAATCTTACTTTTATAGAAACCCTCCAAATCCTAATACCATGTTTGGTTCAGAATGAAATTCTTTTAGGGATCAGCACTATAGCAACGGCTAGCTCACTGATCATCACAAAATCACTGCAGCAACAACTAGTTCCACCAACTTCAGAATTCAAAGAGAAAACACTGTAGCAACGGCTATTTTCACCATCTTCAAAATTCAAAGACATAACACTATAGCAACGGCTAGTTCAGGGTCATAGTGGCTATAAATTCAACTTGAGGCCTCAAATTAATCCATGCATTCTCATTTCTCAGCAATTTATAAATTCCCATTGTCTGCAATTTGGATCCCAGACATCAATATGATATCAGAAGAGTGCTACCAAAATTATGAAGTTTATGGTGACTGCAATCTCCAAACACCGATGAAAGTGTGCAAGAATGATAAAAATAAGGGAAGGTGTTACTGGGGGGTGTGCAAAATTCCCAAATAAAGAATGCAATTTTTTCGAATGGGCTGATGAAAAAGGAGACTCAAGCAACCAAGTAAACCAATATGTCAAAGAAAATAGGTACGGAGATAAATACATTTTGCAATCAAAGAGGCTGAAGAAAGAATTGAGACTTGTCGAAAATCAACTAGTAGCTTGGAAATTTTCAGCAATTTTATTAGCAATTTTTTGTATTATTTTAATTATTACAAACTGCATGTCATGTACTTGTACTTGCAAAAACTATTGAGGTTGTAATGAAAACTATTTTTGGAATTGGGTATAAATTCTAATTGATATTGTATGGCTAAGTAATAGATCAACTTGTCATAATTGATTGCCCCACATATAACTTACATGTTTATTACAGATTGTATTATAAGGATGAATTGTCTCGCCTAGACATTGTCAATTCAATATAGGCTGCAATCTCATCCCCTTTTGCCTCATCTGAATATATAAACAATGTAAGTTAGATTGCATTCTCAGTAAACGTTAAACATCATCATTACCAAATATCAACTGCAAGGAGCTACACAAGCTAAAAAAAACAGCAAATAACCCACAGGCAAGGAAAAACAAAACAGCTCCCACATAGCAGCCTACATAGCTACATTGGCTCAAAAACAAAACAGCAACAAACCCAAAGGCAACAAAGCAACCCAAGCTCCAGTGAAATGGTGGAGTAGTTTAGGAGAGCTAGGTACTGATAATCACATTTTATTACAATTTTATATCATCATTATCTATTTTATATGAATAAATATACCACTAATAATTGTTTTTATCTTTTAATTGCAGATTAATGAAGAATAAATCTCAACTTCCCATCTCTCAACAAAAACCCATTGATTAAATGAAGAAATGATTCAAGAAGCCTAAGTGCAATTTTCGACTTTTTGAAGGCCCAAAGCAAAAATATTACACCAAGGGTTTTAACATGAAATGGACCGGACTTGGTTTCTTTTGAAATCAATTTGGATGCTGCAGCTTTTAATTCATGCTTGTAGCTTGAATGGGCTGGAGTGTGTGCAAGTCAACTTGGAATTTCATCAAATAAATGAATGTGGACTTGTATACAACTTGGGCCGGACCTCAAGGATGTGTTGCTGCAGCTCATAAATTTTGATCAAATGCAACAGGACTTGGACAATTTAAATGGCTGCAGACATGCTACATGGACCGAACTTCATGGGCCAAAGAGTGGATTTTTCTCTCAAGTGGGCTGATTGCTTGGCTTTTAATCAAATGAAAACTAAATGTGGATTTTTCTTTCAAAGAAGACCGGACTTGAGGACCAAGTGTTGATTGCTGGGCTGAAAATTTTGGTTTTGTTAAGTCTCCATGGACCGGACTTAATGATCATATGCTAACTTGATTTTCATTTATTTTTGAAAATCAATTGGGCCTCCTATGTTGAATTAGAGAAAGAACAAAAAAAGCAAATTCAAAGGTGGAGATTGTTGCTTGGGGCTCAAGACAAATCCAATGGCTCATATTCATTGAAGATTACTATAAATAGGGGTAGAGAGTGAGGGGTTAAGGGTGTGAAAATTTTTGTAACTCCTTTTTGGAGAGGATGGTTACTCTTAATTGAGAATGTCTTCCAAAATTATAACTTTTTATTGTAATTAATAATAATAATTTTTTTTCTTGTCTTTTTATTTCTTTTTGCACTTTAATTTGTAGAGTAGATTTATTTTTCTTGCATTTAATTTCTGCAATTTATTTTGTAGTTTAGATTTTTATTTTCTTTGTAATTAGATTTATTTCTTGTTCATAGTTTAGATTTTTCTTTTCTTTTTATTTTTGTAATTAGTTCTTTTTCTTGTTTTTATTTCTTAAAGATGTGAATTTAATTCTTGTAGGAAGTTTAGAATTATATGAAACTAGTCTAATTTCCTTTATATTGTATGAATTATTCTCTTGTACTTAAAATGTTCATGTTTAGGATAATCAACTAGAGAACTAATCGGTAGAAGAAGAATTTGATAATCTATGCTTATCTTAAATGGTTTGATAGGTTATGCTTATGAATTCTAGGATTATTATCATGTTGTTGTTCTTATCATGAATAGTAATTTTAACTTAGATGATAATTTGATAGGTTACACTTTCCTTAAATGGTTTGATAATCTATGCTTAATAAATCTAAGTTGAAATATGATAAAAAGAGAATAGTTTATATTTTGTAATTGAAATTGGTTAGTGGATTATATTCTAGATTTCTTACTTCTTTTGAATCCTCCATCTTGACTTTCTTAAATTTTCTTTTCATTCTTGGTTTTATTTCTTGATTTTATTAATTCATATTTCTTGCTTTGTGATTTCATTTATTCTTTAATTCTTCTTTCTCTCCTCTAAAATTCAATTTATCATCTTTTGCAAATATTCACAACAAATCACTCATCACATTCATACTTATTCTTTATTCCTAATTGTCATGCACAAAATATAAGAACCAAGTTTAATAATCTCTTAAAATCACCTTCTTCGTGGGATCGATATCTTTTTATACTATAACTTGATAAATTGTGCACTTGCAATTTCGGTACATAATTATGCCGCATCAAGTTTTTGGCGCCGTTGCCGGGGAAGGTGCTAAAATAGGATTTTATTAACTTGATTCTTTAACTTGTGTATTTTTCTTGTGAAGGAACCGCTTGGAGCTTGAAAATCTTGGATTGAAGATCAAGAATTTGGAGCATTGCTTTCGGGTAAATCTTCTTTCTAGTTTTCAATTCCACCCTCTTTAATTAGCTTCACAATTAGAGACAATTAGGATTAAAAAAAAGATTTTATTTTTGTTGACCATAATAAAAATTCATCTTTCACTTGGACATTAACTAACAAGATAATAAATTCAAACATGAGTCATCTTCTCACATTTGATTGTTGTTGACCATAATTAAAAAATATAAAGATTTTATTTTTATCATCCTTTTTAGTCGCTTTTAATTTCTAGGGTTGTATTTCATATAGTGTAGGAATTCACCAAAGTGATTGTTGCACTTGATTTGGCACACACTTAAAACATTCTTAAGGGCAAAACCCCAATTAAGATAAGGTAAGGGATTTCATCACCCTTTCATTAGCCCACAAATCACTAATTCCTCACTTCACAAATCCAAGCCTTCTAAAACTCATTAGACGTTGGCCCCTAAGGATTCGAGCTCAATAAGGAACAAGAAATCCTTAAGTGAACGGTTTAAGTTTTCTCAGAATAGTTGGTGTCTAAGGAAAGGTTTAGGGGTTGCGTAAAGAGCTCCGTAAGGAAAGAGGTACTTAATTGATCTTTGATCACCCTCTAGTACTATCCTTACCTGGCTAACTACATGTGTAAAACTTTGATCTTTTCACTTTAGGAATTTTTGGTTAGGAGCTGGTCTAATTGAGTTAGGCTAAACCCTAGAGTTAGAGTTGATTGAAAAGTGATTGCCTTGATTTGTTTTAGTTAGGATTTTTCATTTTCTTTATCTTTTCATATAAAAAAAAAACTAATTTTCTTTCTTTCCTTAAAAAAAAACTAATTTTCTTTCTTTCCTTAAAAAAAGCTAATTTTCTTTCTTTCCTTTAAAAAAAAATTGTTTTGGTGTATGCAAATTTGGGTTCGGAATAATTTTCATCGCTTAATCCGTGTTGAACTAATCCAAGAAATGGCAAATTAGCCCGTTCTTCAAGATATGTGTTACCCCACCAGAAATGCAATTCCATCTTGCATAAGACTCCCCGAAGTAAATGGAGCAAATTTCGAGCTTAGACCGCATTTTATAAACATGCTTCCCAAATTCCTAGATAATGAAACAGAAGATGCATATATTTTTATCTCGGAATTTGAGGAAGTGTGTATTATGATTAAAATGAGAGAATTAACCGAAGATGCGATTAAGCTCAGATTTATTCCATTTGCCCTTAAGGACAAAGCTAAAAAATGGCTGTACAGCTTACCGATAAATTCCATCTCAACTTGG